GTGAGCCCGATTTTTGAGGCAGCAGTTGTGGATGAAAAATCGCTGTTCACCGGAGATGATGAATCGTACAGTCCGTCGCCAAAGACTAATTGTCCACAGACGGGCCAAACCGATCCTGTTGGAGCCCAGGCCACAACACTGGAGCAGGAAGCGCCAGTTGCCACAGACACAAATCAGGAGAAAGTAACGGACACTGCAGCAGCAAAGTTGACTGTTTCTTCCACCCCTAAGCCTATACCCAATTCCAGTGGGGACAAGATGGCACCGCTCGCCGAAACGGAACGGCTGTCTAATGGGGACCCGAAAACACCTGGGAACCCCAAGGACCACACCGACAGAATCAAGGCCATGAAAGTAGAAGACGCTATCGAGCGACATGTCACTCCTCTAAAGAAACGTACGTCATTTATTGTTATGTTGAGACTTTGTCTTCTTATCTCTGCATTTTTGTTGTTTCTGAATGCCTCTTTAGCGAGCCCTTTATCGGCACTACTCACTCCCCTGCACGTAGTTGGGATTCGAGATGTTGACAAATAACCTGGTAACTCGGCCCCTCCACACTGCAATGGCTTCCTGTCGGTACTGATCCTCATTGTTAACCTCTTCGAAAAGATTTTTAAGACCCTCTCTTTAAAGTTAAGGACAGGACTCTACTCCCGTCGGCCACTACGTGCATGTCCATTTTCGGTAGCCTCGGTTCTGTAGCGCCATCGGCGTGCGAAAAGCAAGTGAGGTGGACGCCCCGAAACTGACTTTTATGCTTAAAAACTCTAGGTACAATTCAACCCTACGCCCTCACGCTAGTAGTGATGCTATAGACCTTTTCTCCCGTCGTTCCTTAAGTTTCACGGCAACATGAACCGAAAATGTCTACTTTATCAGGCGTATTCTGACGTACAGCATTTGTTTTGCTTAATGTAGTTCGCGCTTCACCGTTGAACACTAAGCCGCTTTATGTGACTTTCTAATGGGCGTTTCGTTCTCAAGACGGAGCCAGACTATATACATTATGGTAGAGAGTCCTTGTTAATATTGCTTAGGTCTCCATTATTCAGTGCTACTTTATTCATCAGAATAGCCGCACGCAAGGTCAAAGGCTCTGTTAGAAATCAGTCCGAATAACTCGGATATTCTTTGTAGTTCTACAGTAATAATTAATAATGTTAACCAAGCGCGATAGAGCAAATAAGGCTCAGTTAAAATCAAAAAAGAGGGTGGGCATACGTTCGAGGTGATTAGACAGACGGTCTTGCAAATGACGCCGGCACGTGACTGTCACTTCATAAGTGAACGAGGACAAGGGTACTGAACAACGAACGAAGGAAGCCAACGAATGCGAATGAGGTCAAGCGACACATGAGAAGGGGAATCGATAAATGGCTAAGCGTGAAGAAAGCACACGTGTTTTAGCTAAGTCTCGTTACTAACAACAAGTTAGTAGCAAATAAGAAAAGAATACAGCATTTTCGTGATGAGTGTCACTGTCCTCACCTATCGCGTTACAGCACCTACTCATCCTGTTATGCTTTAGGAGTCGATATCAGAGCCCCCGTATCCATTCACAGGGCCAATAATATACGAATAATGAGACTGTCGACAAAGGCAAGGGGTACTGGAGTGGCCATTTCATGCGTATTAGCCGTCGTCAGCTAGTCGTGCTCAACCACTGAGGTCCGGACACGCGTTCTCTTGGTTAAAAGCCAAAGGCTCTAGCCCCAGGGTCGGCAACCTATTGCTCGCGAGCCATATATGGCTCTTTTGATGATTGCCTATGTCTCTCTCAGAGACTTCAGATTTTGTGATTTTGGTTACTCTTTAGGGGTCTTAGTAGTGGGTTGTACTCGGATCACTACAATCATCAGGCCAAATCCCAGGTTGGAAGTTAAAAGACAGAGGTCACCAGAATGAGTGATTTGTTATGTGCAGAACTCCCAATCGCTGTCCCAGGTGGCAGGCAGGCAGGCAAGTAGCCCTTGTTGGATCCGGAACCCC